GGGAGAGGAAGGGGGAGTTGTTAGGGTTGGTTCCTGGCAGCTGCTGAGAAGCCAACGCACAGGTAGAAAGGTGTGATCACACATGGGCGAGTCAAGAGCTAAAGCCATTAGCTGTGGCTGTGTATGGTGAGTAGGGGGTGAGTGGGGGTCTTGTGTGGCATGCTGAGGAGGCTGGAGTCACCCCGAAGGCTGCAGGAGCCACCAACAGATTCTAAGCTGAGGAGAGACCCGCCGATGTCATTCTGGGCCTTCAAAGGCCACTCTGGCTGTGGGACTGGAGGGGGGCCCTGAGGGAAGTCTGTTGAGAGAAGTTGAGACACCAGGTAGGAGCGATGTGCAGTGATCGATACAAGAATTGACATGGGCTCAGATCAGGATGGGGTTCACACCCAGAGGGAGACAACCAGTAGACCCGAGGAGCATCAGGGATGGAGAATCCAAAGGACTCGGGACCCCACTAGACCCCCAGGAGGAGGAGCCAAGGCTGAGCCCTCAGGACACTGGGTATGTGATGGTGTGTTGATCAGAACAGAGAACACGGGTGGAATTATCAAGGTCTGTGCAATGTGGTGTCCGTGGCAAGATGCTCAGTCCCGCCTAAGGTTCTGGGGGCCGGGAGGGGCCTGGGATGAGCACTTGGAAGGCACTGTCTCCAGATGTCTGGAGTCACAGGAGCACATGCAGTCTCCTGGGGAGGGAGCACCAGATAGAGGGCAGAGGGGATGGCACTGGGGACGCTGCACAGCTGAGGGGAAGAGGCATGAAAAGGGCGGTCACGAGGCCAAGGGAGGGAACAGAGGCTGCCATAGGTGTTCTCAGCCCATTAGAGGCCAGGCAGGCTAGGAGCTGGGGGGGCCACTGGGTAAGGCCCTAAGGTAAGGCCATGCCCCAGGGTCCCCAGTACCTGCTGGGTCCCCAACAGATGTGCACTGAGGGAGGCCCAGAGGGCGGGGCACCTGGGTGCAGCTGTAGCCGGTGGAGGGGTGCCCACTGACCCCCTCTCTGGGTCTCTCCTGGGGTCTCAAGGAAGGGAGCAGGACTCCAGGTTTCAGACCCCCCAGCCCTGGAGGGGAAGTACGTGGGCCTACAGTGGTGACCAGATCCCAGGACGATGCTGGGCACTGACCGGTGGGAGGGCCTTCCTCAGGCCTTTCCTAGGGGTGTCCCAGGAGAGCTGCAGCCTCCGGCTCAGGAACACCTAGGGCAGAGGAGCCTGGGTATCCGCTGAGAGACAGTGCCACCTAGTGGGGAGGAGGTGCTCACGCCAAGCCCATCGCTCCCATGGTTCCAGGCTTGGGGCTCATTCCTGGGGGTCCCTATACCCTGCCCTGGGTCAGGCTGGCAGGTAACAATCCAGGGCTTTTGGCCTCTGGCAGCTGGGCACTTGCAGCACAAGCTGAGGTCAGCTCTACCTGCAGAGAATTTTAGCAGAGATGCGTCAGGCCCCATGGTGCGGGTAGAAACGGGGGTTCAGTCCTCAGACCTGCACGCCCACAGCGGGACTGTGATTTTGTTCTTGTTGCATGTTTGCTGGTAGTGGCTTTAGGCTCCCACAGAGAATAGCAATGTGTTTATGAAGCTCTTCCAGGCATGGCACTCCAGCCTTCTCCAGCTCCTAGTCCACAGCATTCTCAGGGCCTCCGGCAGCGCGGGTCTCCCTGTGTGGCTCAGGCCTTGACAGCCAGGTCGGAGGTGACCACGTGGAGGTGAGGGGCAGGCCACAGGGTGCCCCAGCGGCAGAGAACCACTCCTGCCACCCCCTGCCCAGTGATTCCTCCCCAGTTCAAGGAGGCCCCTCCCCAGAGAAAACAGTGTCTGTGGACACTACTAGTCCAGGAGGGCCCGGACTCCACAGCCCTCATGGCTGGCTCCAGTCCCACCCATAGCTGGCTCCTGGCAGCTCAGCAATTTCAGGGTCAGGTCAACAGCTAAGTGCGGTCACTGACCCTCTTCCACCGCTTGGCGGAGCTCATTTTTCTTCTCAACTGCTGATTCAGCAAGGCAAGATACAGAGTTCTCCTAAAAGTCTTTTTTAAGAACTTTTCCTTCTTACAAAGAAACATATGTAACAATGTTTAAAAGTCTCTTATGTAAGTCCTACCCCCAACATTTTAGATTGACAGCCTGGCATCTACCCTTCAGCTTTTTTTTCTGTAACATATACAGTGTGTGTATGTGTGTGTGTGTGTGGGGGTGCCATTGCTATCTTCTACACTGACATATGGTTTCTACATTTTGATTTGTCTTTTGATTTTTTTTCCACAAAGCATGTCCCACAAGAGGCTTTCTTACTACCCTACTCAAATTCAAGCTGACTTGGCAACTTAAGAGGAGTGGGGTAGAAGGTGAGTCCCCAGGGACTCAGAAGCCTGAGGGTTTCAGGCAGATGCAAACCCGGAGCCAGGGGAGAGGGGCGCATGCTGGGAGCCCAGGCGAGCCCTGGAGGAGAAGGACCCCTCCAAAGCTGACGCCACACAGAACAGGCTGCTGCGCAACACGGTGGGCACGCCTGGCAGGCACGCCCAGGCAGGCCGCACATGGTATGAGGCTGTCCCAGAGAGCTGCCTGAGCCACTGGAGTGCCTGGAAGATTTCTGCTGAGTTGCGTGCACAAGCCAGGTCACACCTAGCGTCAGCTCTTGGGAATCAGCCCCTGCGCCAGGGCAGAGCCCTGGGACACCCAAAAGAACAAGGGCTGGCTGGTAATCTGGGCCAGGTCCACTCCCCTCCCCGCCACCTCACGGCACAGTGAGCACACCCATCAGCACTCTGTTCCTGGGAGCCCGCTCGGGTCTGGACATGCCACAAGGTGCGATATTTTATGGCCGATAATTCCAAGGAAGCATACAGAGAAGGAAAGGAAAGGAGACGCTGGTCAAAATATGGGGTCTCGGGTTCAGGATAAGCCTCCTGGAGAGGGGGAGCCTGGGTAGCTGCCAAGGGATGAGAGCGGTCCAGCAGCCTCATCGGTGACGGGTGACAGGACAGAAGTGGAGAGCTCCTCAGTTACAGTCTGCATCCTGGAACTCCCAGTAACTGGCTGCGGGACTAAACGCAAAGACTGACTTCTTCCAAACCCACTCCCTCGCCTGTCGAGTGGAAGTAACGCAAAGAGTGGCCATCCACAGTGAAATGACATAATGTAGATCAGGTGCTAGCACAGTGCCAGCCACACAGTGAACTCAAATGTCACCCATTACCAGGATGACTGCTTGCGGCCACTCAAAGGATACAACTCCCTCAGGACGAAGAGGCATCAGGCCTCTGGGGCACAGCCAGGACCACCCAAACCACAGTATGTGTCCTGTGTCCAGGCCAACAGTGACAGTGCTGTCCTAGCACACAGGGCACTTCACTCTCCTGGCAGGGTGCTGGGTAGGCAGGGGTCAGGCTAAAGGTTAAGGAAATGTAACTCCTGGGCCCCTGTAGTACTGAGGGGCCCAGACGCCTCCACCTCTTGCCTTCTCCTGGTCTAGAGGGGGATCCCATCATCTGCTGGGTAGGGTGCTTGGCTTCTACCAGAGAAGGAGACAGGGTCAGGCAGGCAGCTCCAGAGGCTCCTGGGCTCGGCCTGTGGGTGGAGGGAGCTGCAGCCTCTCCAGGTCTGATGGACCACCCACCAAGGAGGGCTGGGGCTTTACTTTCTAAAGGAATCGTGAGTCAGTGTCCCGGGAAGGGCCTGAACGACTGCCCTGCCCTGACTTACCCTGGTCGATGGAGTGCGGTGGCAGCTGGCTGAGCTGGCTGTTGACCACCCCTGCGTAGGTGCGCAGGAATTCCTCCTCGCTGGCCGTCAGCTGCAGGGTGAGAGCCGTGGTGAGGGGCAGCATGTTCCTGCTACCCGAGAGGCACCTGCACCCCCAGAGGCTCTGCCCAGGCCTGCTTGATTCCTGGGTGGTGCTTCTGTTTCTGAGGTTTGACCCTTTTAGGTCCCAAGCAAGCACAGCCCCTCCCAATTGCTCCCACTCCGAACTCAGTTCATGGGGGCGGCCAGCCTTGCTGCACTCAAATCGATTCTGAGATCAGAGTTCAGGCTAGTGAGGGTCAGTGAAAGACACAGTCCTGCTGGAAAGCTGATGGCAGATTCCCTCTCCCTCTCTGCTCAGAAACACCCCTGCACCTGCATGTCCGCTGCCCCCTCAGTGCCCAGCTGTCCAGTGGCCCCTTGGACATATGCTGGGGGAGAAGATCGGGGTTCAGGAGGCAGAAGGAAAGGAAGGTCGGCCTTTAGGCCCTCGCCCCCCCAGGCCCTAACACACCTGGGTAGGAAGACTGCCCAGCGATGCCCCCAGAACTAGATGTGCTGGACTCTTCATCTGGAGGCCTGAAGGAGCCCTGGGCCGAACCACAGACCCTCGGCCTCCATCAGGGTGGTAGGTCCTCCCAGGGCCCGTGCCCGGCTCCCACAGCACTCACATTTGACCCCATTTTCCTCAGCATGAGCAGCACTCGGACCTTCTGCTGAATGTACATCTCCTCCGGACTCTTCCCGGGCGCTCCTTCACGGTTCATCCCCCTGGCCCACTCTGGGGACTCCTGCAGAGCCAGAAGCAATGTTGGGGGGGTGGTCAGGACGGGACATACTGGGACAGCGATACCTGATGGGTGACCCACGCTCATCCCAAGTCACCCCTTTCCACCTGCCGCCTCATTTCTAAGAACATGGGGGCGAGTTGCTGGGTTCATCCCTCACCCCAGTGGCTGGACTAAGCGTCCCTGGACTAGAGTGGGTGCTGCTGGGTCGGCCTGCCTGCTGCCTCTGTGCACAGAGCTACTGGCCCAGGGAGACTGAGCTGCCCCAGTCCGCTGGCCAGCTCCACCGCCAATCACCCTGCTGCAGTGCTCTTGCTACAAGCTACAGGACACACAGTGCGTGAAGCCCCACACGTCCCAGGTTTTCAGAGCAGGCAACTCGCACAGGGAGCAAAAGTGACAGGATCAGAGGCAGCTGGTTGGGGCTTTTGGCTCAAGAACACTTGAGACCAGTGCCCAGCCCCCAAACACCAAGACAGCTCCTTCTGCAAAAGCCCCTGACAAGTTCAAGAGGCCAGCTCCTGGGCTGGGCTCCAAGGAGTCCCTCGATGGGAGAGGTTGGCCCAGGGCTGTGGGGCTTGCTGCTGCCACCCTTGCAGACCCACCCCATTTGTTAGAGGGAGGCTCCCACAGGCCGCCAGGAAGGCCAGCAGCTGGGTCCAGGTCTCAGCTACCTGACCTGCAGGAAGGCCCCAGGAGAGAAGCCCAGAGCTCCCTCCCTCCAGGAGGAGCGGAGAAGAGGAAGCCGGGTGTGGAGGGGCTTGGGTTACACACTTGTAACTCCTGGATGAGTCAGAAATAACGCAGCAGCTGGTGGGGTGGAGTCTCACTTATCAGTCCTAGCGCCAAGGAGCTGTGCTTGGAGAACCAGAGAACCGGGCTGGCGGGCCAAGGGCACTCCTCATGCCATCCATCCCTTTGGGGCCAGCAAGCCCTGGACTAGCAGGCTTGCCCAGGTACAGCGGCTCTCCCAGGCACAGCAGCCTGCCACACAAAAGGCAGACTCAAATGTGCCAGAGCCTGGGCAGCAGCCTCCCTGTAGGCATCTGCCAACTGCTCATTCTTAGGGGCCCTCGCCCTAAAAGTCACACAATAGGCTAAACTGGCCAGTTGGGGCTAATGTGGCAGCTGTCTGCTTGATGCAGCACAGGTCTCCTTCCAGCACCTTCCTTTCCACTTCTAAAGCCCCAAACTCCCTAACTCTGCTGTCCACTCCCCTTCCACCTTCTCCAGGGCTCAGAAAAGGGTCTATGTGACAACTGGGAGCTGAGAAAGAGGAGTAACCCACCTCAAGAATGGTCTCTGAAGAGAGGCAGCCCCAGCCAGCCCCCAGAGCCGGGTGCACCCCAGCATATAGACAGCCCTAACTTCCTGCACGACTGAGCAGTGAGCTCCGTTCTGAGGCATCACGTCTCACGCTGACCTGTTCTCACTTGCTCCACCTCATCAGGGCCACGTGTGCTTTGTTCAGCCTATCCTCCCAAAGCCCTGCACAGCCGGCCTGTGGCTGGATTCCCCAAGGCCATGTGGCATGAGTCCTGCACCCCAGCCTTGAGCGTGGACAGTGTTGTCTCTACCCCTTCCTGACAGTCATACAACCTGGACTACTACAGGCCTCCTCATGATGCCCCCACTTCCTTTCTTGTCCTTTTCTCTATACAGGAGCCAGAATTATCTTTTAACAACCCAGAACAGATGACATCCCTCTCTGCTTAAACCCACCTGAGACGCCTCAGTCTTCGCCAGGACGCTGTGAAGCCTGGCATGATCAGCCCTGCCCCTCTCTGCCCCTGCCCTTCCTCTTCCTGCTCCTCTGGCTCCGCCTTCCTAGCCCCAGCCCATTCCTAGAACATGCCGAGAAGCTCTTTCCCCAGAAGCCTTTGCCCCGGGTGACCCTTCAGCCTAGACCTGGAAGCCTTCCCTGACAGCAACCCCAAGTGGGTTCTGCCCACCTGCCCCGTCCCTTCCGGTCAGGTGGGCCTGGCTCACTGTCCAGCCTTTCTGAAGGTGCTCTGTCGGAGAACTAGCTCACCGCCTCTTGCCCCTGCCCTACTTCAGGACAGGACCCCGTGTGCTTTGCTCAGCATATCCTCTCAAAGACCAGCACTTGCCAGGTGCTTCATAAACACTGCTCATAATAGCCTTTACAATAAACTGAAAAAAATGCAATAAAAAACACTGCCTGGCTGGCAGAATGGACTAGCGAGACAGCCTGTGGTGTGGAAGCTTTCTCGCTCTCCAACAGCCACATCCACTTCAGGCCAAATGTCACCATGTTAAAAAAGACCAAAGTACCTAAACCCAGTCTCCCATAACCAAAGTTAGCTTTTCCAGAGGACTCTCATTTCCAAAGCAGTGTGCCTGGGGCTATTGTGTTCTCCAAAGAACATATGAAGCCAGGCTTGGTGGCTCAACCTGTAATCCTGCACTTTGGGAGGCTGAGGTGAGTGGATTGCCTGAGCCTGCGAGTTCGAGACCCGCCTGGGTAACTTGGAGAGACCTCATCTCTACAATAAATAAAAAGAAAATCAGCCGGGCGTGGTAGTGCGTGCCTGTAATTTCGGCTACTCGGAAGGCTGAGGTGGAAGGATCGCTGGAGCCCAGCAGGTTAAGGCTGCGGTGCCGGGAGCGGCCACTGCACTCCAGTCTGGGCGACAGAGTGAGACTCCAACTCAAAAAAAAAAAAGAACATATGAAATCCTCCATAAAACCTTCAAGCTGGGAGTTAGGGCTTCCAGGAGTGAACATCTTCCAATTCTGCCCTGTGCCCAAGGGCTGCTTTTCAGTTTGCCATCTCCTGTTGAAAGACGGGATTGCACAAGGGACTGGCCGCTAGGTGTCGCCACACCCAAAAGCACCAGAGCTGCAGCAGGTGCCCCGCCCGCCAGTGGCCCCGACCGCTCATGGAGGGCTTCTGACTATTCATGCAGGCCAGTCCTCAGCCAATGTGGAAAACAGATCGCGCCTGCTCTGAGTATCCTCAGCCCATCCAGTCCTAGGGCCCAGGGCATAATCTATTCGTTCATTCAGAGCCAACCTTCCCCAGGCAAGGATGGGTGTCTGGTTCTGCTGGCATATCCCGAGGACCCAGTGGCCCTGGCGCACAGTAAGTGCTTACTGGAGGAATGTCTGTTCTGCATCACAGAATCATCTTGCATGGGGCATGTTTTGTAGTTTTGCTCTGTCCAACAATCCTACCCTTACACTCTAGATTGGTGCCATCTTGCCATCTTTGCTGTTCCACCCTCACTGTTCCCAGGGACACCACATCATGTGACTACTGGGGGCTAACGGCTGCCCAGCCAAGGGCCTCAAAGGGTCTTTGGAGTTAGGTTGCTCCCATAGCAACACGTTTCCCTGGCAGAGACTGTTTCTGAAGCTGACTCTTCTTGCTTCAGAGAAGACGCCTGACTTGTCATTTCTAAAAGTCCTGATCATCTGATATTTTATGAACTCTAGTTTGAGCTGAGCCCGCTGAGCCCACCCTGTTGCCTAACAGAGTGGGAAGGCCTGGGGCTGGATCTGGGGCAGAATGTGGCCAGGAGCACACGTTCGCCCTTCACGTTCCAACCCAAATGCACGAGAAACATCACGGCTGGCTTTCGTAATCTGTCTTGCAGTGAGGGTGCCAATGTGAAGAAAATTACTAATAGAGAGAGCAAATCATATCAACCCAAATAGCATGGCATTTCAGTCACCGGTGTGCTACAAGTATATTAAAGTGCTTGGGTTTGTTGCCTATACAAACAAATGTGCTATTAAATTTTCATCACAATTTTGACAAGCATCAGATTAACGTCACCTGAGAATTCCTATCCCCCCCTCCCCCGTAGGGATCAAAAACTGGTCTCCATTAAAATGTATTTAAATTACATAAGCTCAAACTGCAACTAAATTAGCCACACTAATTATTCATCCGGTCCTTGGATGTGAGAACCAAACATAACAATGCTCCTCAGTTATGGTCTCTTGGCTCTCCCCATGAACATCCCATGACCTAAATGGGGCAGCGCTTCTGCTCCAAATCCTAAGACAATTTCTCAGTGTGAGTTGCCCAAGTCAGAGACGAGCCAAACAAGGAAAATGGAAAGAAACAAGAGGCAACTAGCAATTATCCAAGAGAACGGTGAGGGGCCAGGTCTGTGGTTAGATGTTCTGTGGTAGCAACCACACATTACACAAAAAGTGGGCGCTCTTCCAGAAAATGACATCTGATTGGGGCAAAGACAATGAAGAGACACTGAGGCGCATACACTCACTTCCAACACAGAGACGCACTCCTGCCATATACACACACATGCACGCACGCACGCACGCACTGCTGTTGGTTCTGAGCCCGCCTCCCTGTTGAAGGAATTTTGGCTGGTCAGGAAAGAATGGTGAGGAAGTGGCTTCCTACCACTGTGACAGGCCCATACCAAGTGAGCACTGGCCTTGGCCTTGGCCTCAGGCTGCATGGCGTGCTTTGGGAGACATCGGGGGCATCTGCAAGAGGCACCCTCAGATGCCTGCGAGGACCTAATCTCAACTGCCACGTGACCTCCAGCTTTTAAGAAGCTGATCTCACAAGAAAAATGAGGAGATAGTGCAGGAAGGACCCAGACAACAACACTGCTGACTATTACACGCAGCAGATGGAGGCCAGGAGGCTGCATCCACTCACATGGGTCTCCATCTGGGAAATGCAATCCATTCTGATAAAGAGCTTTGAAAGTGACTTCCCTTTGACAGGCACGAGTGGCCCTGAAAACAAACAGCCACCTGCATTCATTTTTATTTATAAACTTGAAGTTAATGCTGTTTGAACACCCACTTTTATCTAAATTATCTTATTCCCAGGGTGGTCTTGCACCTGCTAGGAAAAAAATATCAAGAAAGCTTAGGGTGGGCCAGGCAGCAAGCCAAGTCCTTAACCTACACAAGCCACCTCTAGCCCCTGCATCACAGAACTTGTCTTTTGTTCATTATAAAATGCATTGTTGGCTGGGCATGGTGGCTTACACCTGTGATCCCAGCACTTTGGGTGGCCGCAGGGGGAGGATTGCTTGAGCCCAGGAGTTCCAGACCAGCATAGGCAACATAGTGAGATCTTGTCTCTACAAAAAATAAAAAAATTAGCTGGGCATGGTGGCATGTGCTTGTAGTCCCAGCTACTTGGGAGGCTGAGGTGGAAGGATTGCCTGAGCCCAGGAGGTCAAGGTGAGCCGTGATTGTGCCACTGCACCAGCCTGGGTGACAGAGTGAGCCCCAGACTCAAAAAGAAAAAAAATCACATCGTGATAGATTTTAAATACATTTTAAATGTACATTTAAATTTTCATGACATTTACATTGCACAAAAATGCAACGCCATAGGACTGGTGATTCATAGCTTATATAAAACATTAATTCAGAGTCTGCACATGTCTTAGCCTAAAAGAAATCAGCAGTCTCTAACATTTCGCCGCAGAACCCACACACCTGAAGAGATGAGCATTCGTAGCACCCATGATGAGAGTGAAAGAGATGCACTAACTTCAGGGTCAGGCCTGGTGCCTGGTGTCCATGGCCACCCCTCACCCGCCACCCAACACTCTTCTACAGCCACAAGAGAGTCCTCTCCCTCGGGTCCTTACCTGCTTCTGGAAATTAACTTCAGGCAAACAGATGCTCAACTGTGAGGGGAGGGCTGTGGCCAGGGAGAAATAGGAAGGTGCCGCCCTGTGGAGACACAGAACACCGGTCATGGGAGGAGGCGGGAGGACCCCAGGGCTGTCAGGGCTGGGCCTTCAGCACATGCCCCACGCCCAGGGACGCTCGGCCGCCAGCACGGGAAGATCATGGAGCTGGGCCCTCCTGCAGTCCAGAAATACCTGTGTGTCTGGCAAGCCCAGGAAACCGGCACCCACACCTGTGGGCTAAGGTGCTGATGGCAGCTACGCTGGCCTGTCATTTCCGGCTGAAGCAGGTCAGCTTGCTGACACCACACACCCTCCCCATCAGGTTAGTCACCAAGGCTAATTGAGAGGCTGGGTACAGAGATGTCCTGGTCCAGAATGAATCACTTGGGGACAGTTGATGGGGCAGGTTCCGTACCTGCCCAGGATGACATCCCACCCAAAAATCCAACACGACAGCAGGGTGCAGGAAGCTCGACACACCACATCCTCCATGCCAGACAGTGCAGGTGTGGCATCAGTGTGCCTGGTGAACATCTGCAGTTGTACGTGTAAATATCCACCAACAAGGACACATGCTACACACACACATAAGGCACATCAAGGCTTATTCACAGACGTGGGCCTGGCCCACACGCGCCTGCCAGGAATCAGAGAGCACTGTCTTCTCTTCCGTCCCACCCCCCAGTCTCATGGCTCAGGTCACACACACAGTCTACACTCGTGCAGAAACATGGACTGGCAAGGGGTAGGAGAGGCATGAGGGGGCCCCCAGAAACCTGCTCCATGGGGGCACACAGACCATGAGCCTTGCATCCCCCAGAGCTCCTGGCCTAAAGGTGGGCTCCCAGTCCTGTGGTAGAGAGAGGTCAGAGGACAGCACTTTGAGAAACTAGTTCTTTTTCTTTTTTTGAGTCAGAATCTCACTCTGTTGCCCAGGCTGGAGTGCAGTGGCATGATCATGGCTCACCACAGACTTAACCTCCTAAGCTCAGGTGATTCTTCTCTCAGACTCCCAAGTAGCTATAGGTGCACACCAACACACCCAGCTAATTTTTCATTTTTTTGTAGAGACAAGGTCTTGCTATGATCTGAGGCTAGTCTCAGTCTCCCAAAGTGCTGGGATTACAGGCATGAGCCACTACGTCAGGCTTTGATAAACCAGTTCTGAGGGAGGTGCAGGACCGAGGATAACTGGGAAACCCACTCTCTTCAATTACTTCTGCAAAGAAAGCTGCTTGCTTATCCAAGGGGTAAGGAAAATGCATTTTCCAGAGAAAGTGGGATTTCAAAGCTTCCCCTGAAGTCAGACACTGCCCTAAACGTCTGACTCTTGGTTCTGTGTCCCTTCAACCAGCATATGGCCCTGGGATGGAAGAGCTGTCACCCACCACTGCCACCCCCTTCACCATTGGACTAGCCCTACGGGAACAGGCCATTTATAGCATTAATTGCTCTTTTATTCCTCTAGATATCAAAGCACCAAAATATCAAGGAACCCTGGGGAGCTTTCCACCCAAGTCCCCACATTCCTTCAAAAAGAGATGAAAAGAAAGCCTTCTCCCACTTCTTGAAGGGTTTTAACTTCTTCAGTTACCAAGACAGCCAATTATCACTCCTGTCTGCAGGGCTCAGACCCTTCCAAGAAGCGGAGAAGAACTCTGTACTCACGACTTTCAGGGAGGGACAAAAGGATGGGGACTGTCCAGGATTCACAGCCAGCTGTCCTGTGTGTCATTTTACAATCAGGACAACGTTCCCAGTTTACAGAGTAGGAAACGGAGGTTTAAAGTCTCTGGGGCCTCAGAGCCAGCATAAGACAGCAAGTATGCTCTGGAAGCAGGGTTCTGCTTTCAATCCCGCTCAGTTACTGGCCAGCTGTGCCCAGTTCAGATGAAATCAGAGCTGGTCTCCCAGGCATGGAGCCTGGGCCATCACACAGGGAACACACTTGGGTGGACCCATGCTTGGCTTATGGCTCTGCCGTCACTGTCTTGAAATTACTCATTATTTTTGAACAAGTAGCCTTGCGCTGGGTCCTGCAAATTACACAGCTGGTCCAAAATGAGAAAGAGGAGGTACAGGTGCCTCTCAAACTGCCAAGGGTCCACAGCCCTCCCACGGAGACACCACAGGGACTCGAGAAGGACTTACTGAGACTGTTCTGGGTATACACAGCCTGTGCCTGGCATGGGGGCAGAGTACAGGGCTGGCACTGGGACACTGAGCCAGCCCTCCAGGAGTTACCCAAGTGGCTACACGAGGCACAGAGAAAACCACACAAACAATATAAGACAACGAGCCAAAAGATGTTCCAAGGCAAGACACAAACACTCCCGAGAGCCAACCACATGTCCCACGTCATGCCACGTGCCTCCCCTGAGGAGGCTGGAGGCAAGAGGAAAAGAGGTCCAGGGCCTCAAGTCAGTGGAGTGAGTGGCAGAGCAAAGGGTACACAAAGCTCTTTGAGAATGCAGGGGAGGGGCTACCTGCCAAGGGTTCTGGGGAGAAGCCTGTAGCTGGGCCTTGAAGGATGAATAGGAGTTTGCTGGCAGAAAGAAAAGGGAACAGATACTGACTGAACAACTACTGAGTATTTATTCTGTGGCAGGCACTGAGAATGCACAGGTGAGCAAAACAGCCCAGCGCACTTGTGATGAGGGTGAGTGGGAGACAGACCCCAGTCAAGTCACCTGAGTCAGTGCATCGCCAACACTGTGACAAAGGGCAAGGGTTAAGAGTGAGGTGCCCTGAGCCATCACCCAAAGGACGAGGAGGAGCTGATGCAGCCTATGGAACAGCTGGAGGAAGCAGGTGGGAGCCGGGTGGGAGGCACCAGTTGAGCTGGAGCTGGCCTCAGGGTCTCTAAGGGGGACAAGAAGAGACATCTAAGCCGGGCTCAGTGGCTCATCCTGTAATCCTGCACTTTGGGAGGCTGAGGTGAGTGGATTGCCTGAGCCCGCGGGTTCGAGACCGGCCTGGGCAACTTAGCAAGACCTCATCTCTACAATAAATCAAAAATTAGCCGGGCATGGCAGCACGCGCCTGTAGTTCCAGCTACGTGGAAGGCTGAGGCGGAAGGATCGCCGGAGCCCAGCAGGTCGAGGCTGCAGTGGCCAGGAGCGGCCACTGCACTCCAGTCTGGGTGACAGAGTGAGACTCCAACTCAAAAAAAAAGAGGCATCTAGGCAGAAGGAGGTATTCTGAGCTTGACAAGACCACCTGGCCACAGCGTGGGCGGCAGGAAACAAGAGGCAATGGGAGTGTCAGAACCCAGGCTGTGGCTGCAGTGGTGGGGAGAGGCCTAGCACATGCCCTAGGTGGCTGTCCCCAAGGACAGGCCAGACAGGACTGAGAAGCCCACGGAGGCGCAAAAGCAGGACTTTGCCCTTCAGATACCATCATCACTATAGGAACAACCCCATGAGTTCTGGAGCCAGAATCAAAACCAGGTGAGCAGTCAGATCCAGGAAACGTCAGGGACACTTCTGGGAGACATTTGGCCTGGGATGAAAATGTGGGACTTGGGAAGAAGGCACACAGAACTACAGTGGAGGAGCTGATGAGGCGGCCACAGGGGCAGGGGACAGCAGAGGCCTGGGTGGCAGCAGGACAACACAGAACTTAAGGTTGAGGCCAGGTGGAGCCTCTCCACACCAGAAGTCCCACCCACCAAGCATCAAGCCCTGGTCAGCATCAAGCAACTGAGTCGCGTGGTCCTCCAAGAAGGGCTGTGATTAGGTGGATTTGTGTGATGCCCGTGCATGAGGCGGGGGGAAGGCGGGACAGGGGGACCTCACAAGGTTCAGGTGAGAGAGAGTGAGAGCTGCTCTCAGAGAGGCAGGGAGGGCTGGGATTTCTAAGAAGGAAACAGAGCTCACCCCATCCCACCGGCCCCGGTCGGTCAGGTCCCACAGATGCTGTCCCATTACGGACCTCATTAACCATGTGACAGGACAGAGGCTGCGTCAGTGGCCATAATAGCTCCTGTCGGCCCATGGCAAGGACCCATGCCTGGGTGAATGGCCTTCACAACCTCCTCCCTCTCAATACTTCCAGCTCTCAGGGCCTCGGGGTTCTCCTGGAACCCAGCACTCACACAGCACTGCCACCACTGCCATGTCAATCTGTCCCCCAAGGGGCAGGGGAGGGTAGAGTCTTGTCCACTTGCACCAGCCCTGGCTCCTTTCCTGCGTTGCACATGCTCAGTCACTCTCAGCACCCGAGGTGAGGTGAGTCTTGACCTCAGCCTTGCCTCCTCCAGGTGAGTCAGTTGACAGTGCTGGGGACTTGGGGGAGGTCACCACCCAGGGGAGTCTCAAGGTCAAGGAGGGAGGAAGGCGGGGGGAGCGCTGAAGATGCTAAGGGAGGAGGCAGGAGGGGACAGTAGGAGCAAGGGACAACAGTAGGAGCAAGGGACAGCAGTAGAGCAAGGGACAGCAGTAGGAGCAAGGGACAGCAGGGCTTTCTCCAGGGGCAGTGGCAGCCCTCAGGGCAAGGGCACCTGAAGAAGAGTGCACTGGGGACCTCACCGGTTCAAGGAAGGGCAAAGGATGCCAGACCCTGATGCCAAGAGCTGCTCGGCCCCAGGTCTCCTTCAGCCTCTCGAGGGAGTGAGGGCAGTTCTTCCCTCCAACCAGAAATCAGGACCTGAGAGAAGACTTGGGCAGCCCAGAGCCACTGGGACCCACATACCCAAGCTTCTACCTAGCACAGAACATGCAGGACAAGGTGTAGGGGCCTGGGATCCCTGGTCAGCAGCTCAGAGTCAGCTGCCCAAGGAACCCTGAGGAATAGGAGGGGATGTAGCCCCTGTGTCGAAGATGTCAGCTGAGTGAGCTGGAACCGCCCTTCTTCTGTCTTCTGCACGCAAACCATGACGACATGTGGAAACGGGCACAGGAGGACACTAAGGCAAACAGGAAAAACATGGCGTGGTATGTAAATCAACACACAGGCAGCCAAGTAAACAGGAGGGGGCACCAAAGCACGGGCTTCCTGTGGGCTCCTGGCCCTGCTGCCTGCAGCCATGGGAAATATGCTCACTCACTCCAACAAATGCATTGAGCACCCACTGTGTACCGGGATGCAGCCACGAGAAAGCAGCCCCAAATCCTTAGTGCATCCTCCACATTCTAGTGAAGGAGATCAACAAAAATAAGCACTGGGTATAAGAAGGAAGGAGACAAGGCTATGATGAAATCCGTGAGGACGCGGGGGAACAGG